CCAAATACCTGCTGATCCTTTGACTTTGACAGTGCATCATACATTTAACAAGACATTACATTTTGGAAAGTTTCATCCGATAATAGCTCAGTTGGAAGAGCATCTGACTGTAAAGGTGACTGTCATCAGGAGGTCCCCGGTTCGAACCCGGGTTGTCGGAATGTTTTTCTTTTTGGGCTGAAAACAAGAGAAGAGTGAGTCAACGCAGGGGCATCAATCATTATCTTTTCTTTTGGGTATTACACGAGAGAAGAGAAGAGTGAGCCAACGCGGGGGTATCAATCAACATGTTGCAGCTCGCTCAAATAAGAATTATAAAAGCGCATTGTACTTTATTGGAAAACAGACCCAGAAACAGAGAGGAAAAGAATATTTGCGTCCACGCGCTCAAAGGCTGCATGTCACGGAAGTTGGGTTGCATTGCCATTGCAAGGCGTTGTTGGCCACGTAGTTGCAGATACACTGGTATGAGCAGGCCCATTGACCAAAAGTGGTACAAGCTCCACCGTTGGCCACAGTGTTGCCACCAGCTTGAGTTGTAGTTGACTTTGGTGGAACAGAAGAAACGGTGGAAGAGACAGGTGGCTTGCTTGTTGTCACAGCGGAAGTGGGAACTGTGCTGGTGACGACAACCTTTGAGGTGGTTGCCACAGTTGCAGAGGTGGTTGGGGGCGGGTTTGAGCAGGCAGCGGGGATGTCACCATTGTCAGTGTAGGCGCCACCGGTTCTCGCGTTGACACCCATTCCGCGCTTGGCAAAGCCTTTCCAGATGGCACATGCGTATTTTCCTCTGTACAGGGCTTGGTCGGCCTGGAGGATAGCGTCTCGCGCCTGCAAGAAGGTTGGGCTGCATGGCTGCAACTTCATTCCTTGCACCACGATGCTAACAAAGTCAGCGTTTCCGGCTCCTGAAGCCTGACTTGTGACCAAGTCGGCAGGGTTCACCCATCCTGAAACATCGACCATGTTCCAGAACACCTCGCTGAGCAGGAAAGGAAGCAAATGAGTATAAGAGTCATTCAATTGGAGACAACTCAAATTTAAACTCACTATAAGGCACTGCACCAGACTTCACCAATATCATGCACTTCATTCAAAGTTGCCAACTTTGAGAACTTGAGCGGGTTCGTGGTCAGACTAGTGGAGTACGGGTATCTGCGGATTCCCTTGCTTCCACCGAGGACATACTTACCCATTTCTACGTTCGTTGCTCTTGTGGCGGAGTTTGGCAAAGTCATCACGACGGCCCACTGGAAAAAAAGAAGGTACAAACTTAGAGACAGAACAGCCATAAGCAACTACACAGAAACTCACCACATCGGACCATCCTTCACCCATACCACCTGAAATGGTGTTGGCAAGGCAGTTGGGGTTGCTACCTCCACCAGTCAAACGGTTTGAGAGTCCATGTCCGAACTCGTGGTAGATGACACTGTTGTCAAAGGCGCCATCACGTCCGGGGTTGGTGAGATCGAAGACGTACATTCTCATGCGGCCGTTTTGACCATCGGGTGGAGTGGCAAAGTTGGCGTTGTTTCTGCTTTGTGGGTCCGTGTTGAAACGATCCTGGCAAGTTGCAATGACTCCATCATTTTCAAGACCGCCTTTTCCCATGTTGTCAAACTGGAAGTTGGCAGCCGCTTCAGTGAAACCGTAGTTGTAAAACAAGTCGTGTGCAGTGTTGGTAGCGACAAACATGTTTGTGACAGCAGCGTTGATGTTGGTTGGGTTCATGGCATCAATACCATCATTTAACTGGTAGTTGAACGTCAAAGAGTTGCTGGATGGTCTTGAAAGCGCGAGAACTTGCGAGTTGGTCTGGCTGGCACCTCCGTTAGGGTTCGATGCGGCGGCAACGTTGTTTCCGTACAAGTCTTTTCTCTCTTGACCCCTGATCACGTGCCACCCATTTGGAGAGGCTTTCAAGTTCCATGGGTTTGTGAGTTGAACGAGGCGGGAACCGACGGGGGCTTGCTCGTTTTGGGGGACCGCCAAGTAGTTTGCATCAGAAAAGTCCGATGTCCAGTCGCTGACGGCGATAAGTTCACCAGTTTTGATGCTGACAAAGGCGTTTTGCCTGCACGGAAGATGGGCAGGGTGAGTAGCTGCAAGTTTGTGATTCAGAATGAAAGAACAGTAGCAGCTCACCATTTGTCACCAAGATCAACGCTCAAATCCCAGACCGCAACCAGGTCAGATCCCTTCTGGTACATCTTCTTGGAAGCTTTGATGTCTTGAATCACAAAGGAAGCACCCTTGACAGTGTAAGCAGACCCATCCTGAGTGACAGTCAACTGGTTTTTGGAGGTAAGACCTTTGGCTTTCGCATACTGGAGCACGGCAGCGTCAGCGGAGATTCCAGAAGTGCGGTCGGAGGCCACGAAGGAGGTGGTAGGAACAGTGATGAAGCTGGAGTACACGGACAGCACAGATCCGTCGGGGTTGATGTTAACATTGGCAACGGCGTTAGACACTTCGATTCCGTCGACAACTTGGACAAAGTGCACGTGGTAGACGCCGGAGTTTGTGGACGTGTGTCTGGGAAGAGCGTTGTTGAATATTCACAGAACATGATAAATTGATGACTAATGACGACTCACGCGTGAGACACTTTGATTTCATCCTTGCTCAGGTTGAAGCTTTTGGCAAGGGCGTCGGCAGCAGCGGCAGAGACAGTGTCAATGTTGGCACCGTCACGGCCAACGAGTCCGGACAAGGAGAAGTTGAGGGCGATGGGCACGGCCTCTGGCTGGACGTAGGGAGGGACGGCAGCCGCGTCTCTCACGACGAGAGGGGCAGCATTAAGCTGGACGGCACATAGAGTGAGGAGGGCAGCGAAGAAGGCTGGGGCGTGCATAGAGAGACTGGAGGTTGTGTTGTGTCTGAGACAAGGTGTTGTGGTTGTAGACGGCTGTGCTGCTGTCAGCTTAAGTATTGGATGGGCAAGCACCGTCACGTGAGGGTCACGCGCACTGGAATGGCTTTTCGCGGCGAGTCCAAAATTTACACGCGGTGAGCTTCTTGTGTCTTGTGACTCGTTTGCTGCCACTGCGTTTGCTCCTGCGCTCTCTGGAGCAACAGGCGGGCGAGGCGGGCCAGGCAGCGAGAGAGGGATCGAGCGTCCGCCGCCGCCCAGGTCCCGACGAGCAGCGCTGCGCGGGCGTCCACGAAACGAGCAACTTCAAAGTGGCGCCAAAAGTCAACGTGACAGCGCATGTGACCCTCGGAATGATCCAACTCAATGGCTAAAATTGTGCTCCCGATGCAATATTGCTCACAAGCCCATGTAATGTCAGACTGTCCTAAGAAGTCATCTCGAAGAACAAGATTCGGCTGCCTTTCTCACTATCCCAAAAAGAATAAGCAGGCATGTTTGTTTATTCCCTCACAAACGATGAAAATATAGATCGAGAGAGAAACTTCGAAAAACCAGTTTGTACACAGGTCTTCTACTTTCCCTTGGAACGAATCTTCCTGGAGTAGAACTCCAACTCCTTTCCTTCAAGAATGTACCCATCACAACGTCCGCTCTGTCCTGGGCGGGAGCTCACACGCGCAAGCACACGTCCAGTCACAAACTGGTCATCCAGAGCCTGGTCAACCTTGAATCCTTCCTTGCGCTCGTTCACCTTACGAGTAACATGGTTGGAGCGGGGCTTGTTGAGACCTTCTTCGTGACCATCATGGGGCTTCTTTCCACGACGACCCAGGGGCAGGGCGTAGTGGGACTCGAACCACTGACGGAAAGGGGTGGCGTCGATTTCGACAATGCAACCCTTAACGAGGGTGTTCGTGCGGACAAGCTCGTTGTTGGTGGAGTTGTACTTGACGGAGATGACACGGCACTTACGGGTGGTGTGTTCGGATCCCCAAGCAAAGTTACCTGCGAAATCGCTGGATCAATACAACTGTGTTCAAGACAGTGAAATCATCCTTCTCACCAGCATCAAGACGCAAGGCACGGAACTTGGTGTTTCCACCACGCACACGCACAGAGTGGATACGCTTGGCTCCAATCTTGGTGTTAGCAGATTGACGACCCAACTCGAACTTTCTCTTCTTGCGGTAGTGTGCGCGCTTCGCACCCGTGGCGTTGCGCTTGTGGCGAGAGTCTCTGCTGATACCCTGAGAATTGTATGCAGTGATTTAGACGGTATGCTCCTGAATGCGAGGACGGGAGATTCGATCGTAATGCATCCGGGTACTGTTGACATGCGCTTTGACGATCGATAGATTCCACCTCGACCATCCCATCTCACTGACACTTCATTCACACTGATTCGTCCTGAATTCTTGCTGAAGCGATATCGAATAGTCTGCTGTGATGTTCGATGCCGCTGATGATGGTGATGGGGTTGGAGGTCCAGCCGGCATGCCTCCTTACCATTTTTTCCGTCAAAAGGAACTCAAAACTGAAGGGGGAAAGAGACAACAAACGCCAACAGCTCAAGCCAAATCGACGACATCCGCACTCTCATGAAATTATGCGTTCTACTGTTTATACATCATGATGAGTTGGGCATGCTGTTTTGAATGAACCACTCGTCTCTTGCTTTAAAACCGAAGTTTTGTTCTTCAAGCTACTCTGTCGACCATCATGCCAGATCCCAACAATTGCTTGGAGTTTGTTGTACGTATGCTCTTATTTAATGTTTTCGGCGGCAGCGTCCCCACCAAACGCGACCATCAAAGCGCATGACTGTCAGCATATATCTGCCGTGCCACTCACTCACAATCTCAATGCATGCTTGTGGCCTTGTGAATCGTGTTTGTAAATCGCACAATTTATTTTCACCGCGACTTGCTTGGAATGCGTCAGTTATAAGCGAGGCTCTAACATTTGTGTTTTGAAAACCAAACTGTTCGCATTCTCTTCTCTTTTCTTCGGAGATTTTCCTTCTTGCTGGCTGATGGGTGCGCCGCCTGAAGCCCTGCCGCCCTTTGATCTAATGTGCAACAACTGTATTTAATGGCTTTATTATTTTTCTTTCGGACTGCGTGGACATCGTAGATCAGAGGAAGATCGCTTGAGCCCATAACTCAGAGGTCGTAGGATCGAAACCTACCGATGCCACTTTTCTCTGTCATAAACTCCAACGAGCATCTATGAACATGAACGTAATGTGGACAAGGATCCTACGGGACATTCAAACGAAGAGAAAGGTTCTTTATCTTCAAGGATCCCAAAACGGGGAATTAACAAGAGTTCGTGTAGAACATTCATGCTAGCTCGTTGTCAGATAAGCGATTGTTGTTGCAGCAGCCAAGGGAGTATTCGTCAACGCGCGGTGTTCCTTCAACGGCATTTGTCCTTGTTGCAGTTGCCACTGTCAAAGAAGAGGAAGTCTTTGTTGGAGGGTCGGACGAGACTGGCTTTAAAGCGTGGGTGGAACTACTCTGGCAGAAACATTGACAGTGATGGACTAAGCGGGATTTGCGGTAGCCGCGGTTGGACCTGTGGAGCAACTAGCCGGGACGTCAAAGCTGTCGGAGTAGCTGCCGCCGTTTCGGGCATTGGCTCCTATCCCTCGTTTGGCAAAGATTCTCCAAATGGCGCGTGGACACTGTATTTACCCGAGGTAGCAGATGTGTGCCTGGCCAAGAAGGATAAGATTCAACGAAAACGAATGCTCAAGCGTGAGAAACTTTGATTTCATCCCTGGTGATTTTAGGTGCGCAACTAGGGCAGCTGAGACCGTGTCAATGTTTGGTACTTCACCGTCGCGGCCTGTCAAGTATGCAAAGCTAACACCCAAGTCAATGTTTGCGCATCTGGCTGGTCGTATGCAGGCGTAGCGACCGCGTTTCGAGAAGGGAACGCAGTAACCAGGCATCGATCGCCAGGAGAATGTAAGGTGGAAGCATAGAGGACTAGTTGTTTGGTAGGGTGGGCATAAGCGCAGCAAGGGGCCCAAAACCACCGATGTTATTTGGGATTTTGGTAGCAAGCGTCTAGAGGCTTTCGATTGGCGCCCAGTAACCAACGCCAACCTCAGTCACTCTTTGAGTGCCTGGATTGGCGAAAAAGGGTTGTGGTGGTGGCGCATGCGGAGGATTTGATCCAGCATTAATGATTTGTGTGTAGGAACGAGGTGGGGGGTTGCCATGTAATATAACTTGAACGTATTCGAACAGTCGAGACCCTTTGTCTATCGCCTTAACTGTTAATTTCCTGATCCCAACCAACAACATCTGATCAATTGCGTTTTTACTCGAAGGACTCACATTTATTTTTACAATGGGCAAACCCAACTCACAAGCGAAGAGAAAGTAAGCATCGCTTTTTGATACGCAAGCAGCAACACCGCAAACTCCAAAACATTATTTCTTATCAACCTACGCCTTCACAATCCTACCCAACACATCAACAGCGTCAGAAACACTTGAAACATGCCAGCGCGCACTGCTTCCTTTACTCCCCACGACCACTGTTACAATGTCAGTTTTCGGCGCCGCTGCGTACGCCGCATTCAATGAGGAGGCATCGGCGAAAACGGAATCGTCTCCGAAAATTCCTGAAACTGGCGATACTGCCATGTCTTCTCCCTTCTCCGACATTGCAGCTGGAGACGGAATTGCAGGTGGATGCGCGTTCGGCGAATCCAGTTGATGCAGGTACTCAAACATGCATTCATCTGCACGATCATCTCCCATGCACAGAATGAAATCAAACACGATCGATGAATTGACTAACGAAGCAGTATGTACTGTTGGCGGGGTGGACGGTGTTTCCGTTGTTGATGAACTTGCAAACGAATTTGACGCAATGAAATTGGGTGATTTGTGCGCAACTGAAGCGGCAGCAACAACAGACGGAACGGGTTTGACTTCGCCAGTTTGGCCACTGCTGCTTTGCATGGGGCGCACAGTTCCCTTTCCCACGCTGTTGCGAACAGAGTTCGCATGCTGAAATGAGGACCGTTTTCCCAACTTTCCTCCTTGGTAATGAAATTCGAGGATACGGCGACATATGCGGCCCTTGTTCACGTTCCGCGGAAAAATCTCAATCTTTTTCTGCTTGGCCAGAATCGTGATTGGAAACGTGGTTCCCAACGCATTTTGGATATGGTTTTGGCACTCGAGCGCTTGCCATCCCCCAAAACTTGCGTCCGCGTGTCCAAAATGCCAAATGATAGAAATATCGTTTTGCTGAATGAAAGAGCCCGGCGTGCGGCTGTGTGAAGGGAGACAGTCAGCGCACTGTGACTTCAAAAGGAAAACCAACGCTCTTACTCTGTGTAGTATTCAAATATATCCACAACTTGTTTTCTCCAAGAGAAATCTTGATCTGACAGCACAGTCTGCCATTTTGTTTGATTGGCAAACATGAGAAAACATCCATTTTCGGCACTTGTTGGTTGACGTGATGAGTCCCAAATTATCAGTTGACATCAACGAAAGCACCAACCAAAGTCCGACGTTTGGAATTCCAGCAAACTGAGTCAAATCCTTCTTCCTGCGGCCACTCATGAGATAAACAAAGTTGTTTGGGTTGGAGGATAGCTGGCGAACAAGTTCCACAACATCTGCGGATGTTTCCTGCACAATATCATTTGAAACATAACCGCTGGCGTTTGGAACAATCGTTCCATCGTGATCCAAAAACTAATTAAGGAAGAAATGATCAGCCAATCCCACGGTGAAGCATAAATCAAAAGTCGTCACGCCACTCACAAAGATCCTGCGTTTCGAACCTCGATAGGCATTCAACACGTTTCCAGTATCCAGCATTGGAATGCGAGAAGTAACCAGGTCTTCATGAACCCTTGGAATCGCACCAACAAATTTTTCCACAAAATTCTGTGCAGTGTGGGTGCTCACGTATCGAACCATTTCTGTCCAGCGGTGCCGTTTTTCCTCCTCAGACATGGTCAGGGCTTCGTAAATTGCATCAGCAACTTCTTGTGTGTCCCAAGGGTTCACGCGAAGTGCAGCTCCAAGAGATGTGTAAGTTCCGGCGAATTCACTGATAATCAGTGGGGATTTTTTGACTTCTTGGCATACGACGTATTCGTGGGATGTCAAGTTCATGCCGTCACGAAGAGATGTGATGAGGCATGCGTCGGCCATCTGTTGCGAAACATCACCATTCAATGTCTCGCAAAATCCAACAAAAACCCAAACTAGTTTTTTCCGCGCATACCGACAACAAGGCAAGGTAGTGGCTGAAGGAGATGTCTTGCTGCAAATAGACGACAGGAACGTATTCGATGGTGCCAAACTTTGAGTTGATTCGAGACACAATTTCGGTCACTTGGCTTTCATTTTCGTTCTCCTCCGTTGTTGATAAAGCCACTTGAATCAGAACAACCTATATTCGCACGGCCAATGTTACGCCGTACTTCCCCCTTATCCGACAGAATGAAACATACCTTTGACTGAAACTCTTTCCTTTGTGTCAAAAAGGCCTCAAAAGCCAACATCTTTTGCCGAACACCCTTCACATAATCATTCTTATCTCGCCCAATCAGCACCTTTTTTCCGGCATATTTTTCGCACAAGTTATGCACCATTTCATGCACCTCAACATGGCTTCGCTTTTCATTCAAAGCGCCCATGTTGATTCCGATTGGAAAGATGCCCACTTTCACAACATTGTTTTCGAGTTGAATTCCACGCGGAGTCGAATCGAGCGAGAGAAGTCGCGTGCAAGTCATGAGAAAGTGGCGGAGAAATGAGTACGTCTGTTCACAAGTCAACATAGCAGATCAAAAATAATTAGGTTTTTGATAGTCGTGGATGAGTCAGGTTTGGTGAAATCTGCGGCCGGAAAAATTTAAGCGCACCTGAAATCCAACAAGATCGGCTCCGAGGATCCCCTCCAATAGCTGCCTTCTTACTGATAAAAGAGTTCAGAATTCGTAGAATCGGTTTTATAGCTCTAGTTCTCGGTTCGATTTACCATGCAGACATCGAAAGATTTCCGACGACGGGAACGGAATGTGCAAAAAGAAGCCGATCGCAGCGTTAGGAATCAATTGTCGCACCATCCCAGGAACGAGCATTAGATGGTAATCATTCACCCAAACTATAAAGCGACGAGTGACTTAGTAAAAAGAAAAAAATGTCAGATTCCAGGGTTCATTCTCACTGATATCATCGGGTTCATGGTTTCTGACAATCGTTTCGGCAAACAGCCGATTTACTGCAACATATTGTTTCCATGCGCGTTCTTCATACGCTTGACCTTTTGGATAATCCGGCAACTGATAATGAAATGGCTTCCAAAGAACCTAAAAGACACGCACGTTTTAGCAGAGAAAATCTCACAGTGAACAACGCGTTCAAGTTAAAATCAAAAACAAGAGCAGCAACCTGCTTGCAAAAGTGGTTATAATGACCGTCCAGCTGATCTTCCGACAAAAACACTGGAACACAGCTTCGCGCAGCGAGCGCAGTTTGCACCGCGCTTTTTGCGTTTTGCGACCAATGATCTGTTGGGTCACGCGAGAGAGCGCCCACCCAAACGCGGTTGATGGTGCCGTTCGGTTTGTGTGTCTGAGGAGTTGGATTCGGGAACGGAGACACGGGCGAGACAGAAGAAAAGGAAGACGGAATCGAGACACTCTCGACGGCGTTCTGCAGACCAATGTTGCCGAGGGCCGACTGATGGTACACACAGTTGTTTCGATGAGTAAAAAAATAGTGGGGCAGATGCTGTCTCCACCTGCTCAAGCACAAACATGGTCCCATCCTCGGCATCGCTGCTAATCAGTGAGCCACTCAGCCGGCGCATGCGCAGCGACTTGAATGTGGCAGTGCGTAGGGTCTCTGACGTGATATTTGCGTTGGTTGCCATGGTCGAGACAGTCAGGGCAGAGGCGCTGCTGCTGCCGCCCCCGCCGTGACTGTCCGTCTCCGCTGTGGCACTCTTCTTCTGCTGAGTCGCAGTCAGGGGCAGGAACAACGACGCCACAACAACACGCCGAGTCATTTTATTGTTTGAAATCTCACTACCAGTATATGAGCGCTGAACTAAACGCAACTTTCACCGTGCAAATATCCCCCCCAGATATTCCAGGGATTATGAAGGCGATTGCAGCTTGCTTCAACGGTATCTTTCGTGTGCTCGGC